CCCCCCCCCACCTCCTTTGACAACCACAACCACAAGAACATTGTGGCAATTAATGATCCATCACTGCACCAATTAAGACCTAAGACAATTATAGTACGCATGCGGATTACCGCTATGAACTATAAATACCGTGTAACCTGTGCATATATCAACCTTATCTGCGCATGTCTCAGACCTTTCTACGATTACTTATGAGTAAGGATCCCCGACGGAATCCGAAACATTCCGGACAATAAAACTCTTGTTCCAGTAATCGATTCCTCTTCTTCTGAACTGCTTCCTGAAACTCGCATATTCAATTCTATTGGCGCTATTTTTTCTACCAACCCACATAGTCTATTCAGTTAATTGCCATAAAAAATATAAAGGCCTGAAGGGAATTGATCCAAAACAAACCTATGCTTGTCAATTCATCTTATTTATTTACTTTAAATTACTTACTTAATTTACTTTTTGATTATCACACGATTTGTCGTTGACAAATAGCAGCATTTTATAATAATTTAATGTACTATTTTCTGTTTTTCTTTGACGTATTTCTGTTAGTTTCTCTCATGTGCCTCTGTATTGCTCCACCCGTATAAACCCTGTAACCACCGGTTACGCATTACAGATATTCGGAAGAGGGGTTTAGTTTCCGTGGTGAACCCTATAACAGACTAGTAGCCATCAACGGATTTATTTGACTCAACACCTGCACTGATTTTTCCGAGGAAATTACTACGAAAACTTGGAATAAATCCTTCGAACCAGATATCTACAGGCTCGTTCCGAGAGCTGATTGGAATATTTTCGCTGAAATACATCACCTACGGTGGTGTTACCGCCTAATACTCCCAAAGTGCCAGCAGGCGGGCAGTAGTATGCACTGGGTATTTATTTTTCAAACTGTCTACACAGGTACTAGTTAACTAGCTGGCTAGCTAGCACTTTCGCTGCCGGTAATGTAAAGAATTATCGCGATTGTATCAGTCCAGTGTTACAGCGACGCAGTCTACTAAACTGACTCTATATTCCAGCTTCCTTCATGGCGTGTACTATTTTTAATATCAAACTCAGTCTCTCTAAAGGAGCTCATTATAGACAAAAGGTGCAAAATACCCTCCAGGCGCCTTATTGATATTTTTAGCAGGACCTACTTGTAGAATCTACTCTCAGTTCATAAGCAATACTTGCTTCAAAGGTGACATTCAAGACACCGAAATGAAGGCAGTCGGCACAGCGCCGTTTCTGCATGCTTGTGCCTTTAACCTAATTTCATCCATGCTTCGTCCCTCAGCATTCTTTGTCACTGCAAATCTGATATATTGCGTATACTGCAATGGGTACACCGTCAGAGATGATGACTACCCAATCACCTAAAAGGTTGTGCCTTACGTCTACTCATGTATGAACGTGCTATTTGTTTTAATTGGAAGTTCAGATGAGAATTACTCAATATTCTAACGCTCCAATCGGCCGTCGATTTTGGCGGCGTAGACAATGGACCTGCAATATATTTAAAATCAAACCTCCTGAGTAACGGGTGAAAAGGCTAAATGACGATTTATTGACCTAAAAAATCTGATTGCAGTTTATTACGGCAAACTATCCCAAATTTGACTTTGAAGAAAATGAAACGAAGGCATTTTACCATTTCCTCAAAGGGAGTGTCAATAGAAATGCGGGTAGACTGATTAAGAGCTGTTTTTGGATAAATCTACTTTTATACACTGAAGTCAGGCCTCGTCAAAATGACATTCATCAATATAGGCAGATAGTATAACCGGCAAATACAAGAGAAACTGGAATGGCCATTTCTAGCTTATTAGCCGCCGTCAGCTAGTCGTGCTCAGACCCAACTGGCGTCCCACCCACGCCTCGAATTCGCGACCTCTTTGATCAGAGTAAAACGTCCTAGCCATTGAGCCACGAGCTCGTTGCCTCGCTGGTTTAGTTTAGGGGCTATTGACACTCATTGATGAACGTTCACGCGACCTCTAACAGAACTCATCGGTCTTGCTCTGCCTTGGGTCTCACCAGAGGCCCCGACAACCATAAAAACTGGTAGTGTGGGCTGATAGTTTTGCCGGCAAAGAGCGGGACAGATGAGATCTGTTAGCGGTCGGGCGAACGTTCATCACTGAGTGTCAATATCCTCTGACCTAATACGGCGAGACAGCGAGCTCGTGGCTCAGTGATTAGGGCGTTTGACTCTAATCAAAAAGTTCGCTAGTTCGAGGTTCGGGTGGGACACCCCTTGGATCTGGGTATGACTGGCTGACGACGACTAATAAGCCAGAAATTGCCCTGTCTTTGCTCGCAATACTATCTGTCTATACTAACAACTGTTACAGTTGTCAGGGCCTCTGGCGAGACCCAAGGCAGAGCCGGACAGATGAGTCCTGTTAGCGGTCAGGCGAACATTCATCAAAGAATAAATCTATATTTCTTTACTCAGAATTATCTGCGGCTTCACACTACAACAGTCACGCAGAAAATTCCAAAAGCGCAACGCAGGGGACGAATAGCAAC